TGTGGGGTAGCCACAGGGCCACCTCCCGAGTGACAGAAGTTTGGGCAGAGTGGCTTGTGGCGGGCAAACGCCTCGAGTTGTTGCTGCATCACTCGTTGCAGTGTCACTGGCGCTGTAGGTGGCCTGTCCCACGAGTATGGAGAGTAATGGGGAGAGGGGGGTACACTGAGCCGTGAGGGGAGAGCGTTTTTTAACCCTCCCCTGGGTTGTTTGAGTTTTTTTTGGAGGTGCTCTCTTCTAGTTTCTCACAGGTGTCTCTGATTAATTAGGAGCGGCTATGAGTCTGCTTCCAAGCACTTCAATCCAGCTGATGTGGAGGTGAACGTGGCTGGAAGATCCTTTCTGGTGACTGGCGCGAACAGTGGCATTGGCAAAGCCACAGCCACGGAGATAGCCAGGAGAGGTGAGCCGGGCCCTGATGAAGAGACCTGAGGAGGGGTCTCAAGGAGGAATGAGGGTGTTCAAGGCCAGGCTGGACATGGCGTTGGGCAACCTGGTCTAGTGGGAAGTGTCCCTGCCCATGGCAGGAGGGTTGGAACTCAATGATCTTCAAGGTCCTTTCCAACCTAAACCATCCTATGATTCTATGATATGGAGAAGATGGAAGGAAGCAGGTTTGGCCTTCCAGCACAAACGCAAAGGTACAGCTCCCGGGGACGAGGGGTCAGGCGTGTTGTTTACAGACCTGTTAGTGTGGGTTAGAGGTTTAAGCATAGTCAGTGCTGTGAAAACTGCAATAATGAAACAAAATTAGCGGAGAAGATCTGCAAAGCGTTTCTCAAGCACATGTTTACCAAAACTGTCCGTGCTATAGTGGCATCTGAGGATGTTAGTGACAGATCAAGGTCTGTTTAAGGCTGATTTGGTACAAGTAGCAGCATGGCTGAACCTGAACTTTGTTGAAGAACTTGCAACTGTATCATATGATGAAAGAAAACTATTGGCTCTGCTAAACTGAGACAGGAGAGTATAAAAGAAGTAAAATAGTTGTGCTTGGTCTTAATAAGCACAATAATAACCAGTGCCCTTTAACTGATTACATGCAACCATTTTTTCTGTTGCTCTCTGTAAGCAATGAGATGATATAAACTGGAACTAGCTACTGTTGAAGGATAAACCTAATCCCTTTCAGAGTTGGCAAAATAATTCCTGTTGTGCAAGAGTGATAAGACTTTTGGCATGTACGATAAAAGGGAGGAGCTTGAGGCTCTTTGCTCTCTCTTTGCCTGCTTAGGTTTCATAACTATGTTATGAACGAAAGTGGCGACTCAGTTAAATTAAACTGATTCAAAATTATTAGCATCAAAGAGTCTTTGGGTTAAAGATCCCCATCAGTGCCAGTATGTGATTGATTTCAGGTTCCCACTACTATCATTATGTATAATAGCCTTATGTAAGTATTGCCTTGTCTGGTGACTGTTTCGCTCACAAATGGATATGTCTGCCAGATTTTGCAAGCTGTCAAGCTGACTGGATCTGCATAGGATTTGGTCATCATGTCTAGTATTTGGAGCCCAAAGAACAACCTTGGGCACAGGCTGCTTGTCTGATACCTTGTGTGGGTGTTTCTGTGCATATGAAGTAAAAATGACTTAACAGTGTCTTCCTGATCCTTGCACATGTCACTCTGAAACTCAGTATCAGCTGTTGGGGCTCTGGCTTCTAGTTGAATCTCTTCAAGTACACCATGACAAGAAAATACGGAATTCAGAGTCAGCAAAAGAATAACCAATCTACATTGGCTTTACCTTCAAGCACGTCACATCTCTGTAAATAATGACAGTCTTGATGACAATTTCTTTAGCCTGAGTTCAGCTTGTCTCTGAATTGGTGTCTTACGGGTATGTTTGGCCTTTCCTGTATGTCTTGTCAACTGCACTTCCAGTTTGATGCAGTCTTCTCCAAACCACTCTGACAATTCCCATGTGTTGTTTAAGTTCAAATAATTTCAATCTTTACCATGGAAACTATATATTTAAATCCCTTTCCTAGCCAATAGGTCACCCCAAAACTTCCCTCTGTTCTTAATAGCAAGAAAAAAGTTCATATTCAAAGCCCTTAAAACCCACCTGTATTTTTATCGAATGTTTTCCACTGTAGACTATGATAAAGTTCCCGGTCATCTTGATGGCCAGCTACTTCTTCCATGTGTTTAGTTTGTACCTGTACACATTACTTGTGCTGTCCCCTGTGCTTTGGGAAGAGCTCCTTAAACAACTGCAAATGCACCTCCTTAACTGCCTTAAGATCTGTAATTAAAGCCCTCTTTTGCAGTGAAGCCTGCAATCACTGTAAGAATGTCCAGAGATGAGCCTTGGACACTGTCCCTTCTGATTGTCTTTTCTCTCACCCATGAAATCTGCTTTCTCTGGAGCAAAGACTGTCTTTCATTCTGATCTGTATATATTCAGTGCCTGTCTGTGCACAGTTCCTTCCATGCATGGTGTGTGTGTAACACAAACTGAAAATGAAACTTTTGTTAAACATTGGTTAGTGTCCTTTGTGTGATTATCCCAAATTCAGGCGTTTCCCCACTGTGGTTGTGGGCTTGGTAAAAGTAACCCACCCAACTCTGGCAGTGCAGTAGAGGAATCGCACCCTGTTAGAAATTTTCAGAACCCCTTGAGGCTTGTTGCCTGCATCAGCTGCATGACAAGTATACTTGCTGTAGTGGTGGTTAGTGGAAAAACATCTCTCGTAGACAGAAAATTTCATTGTCAGACCCCACACTAGGCTGTGCAGTGTGTGGCTGCTCTGTCCCTAGGGTAGGCTTGGTGTCTTGCATTTGGGTTCTGGGCACCATTGTTTCTATTCTCACGCCTTTGGGATTACATTGCTTGAGCCTGCTAATGGTGGACTGCTAGTAACCCCTAAAACACCTTTAACAATAGGTAAAAATAAAGAGTGTGGCTGAGACTAACACGTTACTAGTAATGATCACAAATACATAATGACACAAATACAAAGCATAAAAATGAATTATACCTACCTGTACTTTAGACCTGTTTTTGAAGGCTCTCTTTAATGTCACTAAGCTATGAGGTCACAATAAATACTGAGGCCTTTGAGAGGAGCCTTGCCCTGTGTATTCTTTCCATAGAAAAGTTGTTTGGAAGGACCTCTAGAGGTCATCTTGTCCAGCATCCCACTTGAAGGAGGAGTGTTGCCAACGCTAGATCAAATCAGTCATTTCTATGTCTCACTGGATCTTGAAACCTGCAAGGATGGAAATTATGCAGCCCTTGGGACAGCCTGATGTATTTAGAAGAAAACCAGTGAAAACTGTTTTCTTAATGTCTGACCTGAGCGTCCCAAGCTGCAATTTGTGGCCATGCTCCTTGTCATATCTCCCAATGCTGAGAAGAATTCTGATATCTGGCATTTTTGTTTCCTTTTCACAGAGCAATTACACTCACTTTTGTTGCTCAAGGCCTTTTTTCATCTTTCTAAGGCATGTGTCAAAAGAAGCATTTCCAATACAGATGCCTTAGCTTCAATTGCCAGTGTAGCTCTGGTATTTTATCAACACTAAACATGATGTGCAAACTTGACAGGAAATTATTTGGGTGGACAATACTTAGAGTGCAGTGGTGTTCTCCAGCCTTGCAAGAGGACCCTATTACAGCTCGATACTTTATCCCTCCTGTCTGCCTTCATAGGGACCACAGCCAAACAGAAATCTTCCAGCCTCCTTATTACATCTGCTTTTTCTGTCCTTAACCTTTTGTTTGAAGGTTCTGTACCTCAGTCCTTTGACAGATCCTGTTGGGATTCTTGGTGTGTCCGGTCTGCCTGATGGGACTGCTGGGTTAGTGCCTTTTGGGGGAAAGTTGACCAATGGAGCGGCCCAAAGCTGGTGGACCTGGGACTGCTATGGGGTGCCACGGCCCTAACCAGCTCACAGCTCATCAGCAATTGTCACGGGAGCCCTGAGAGCTCCACAGGCCTGAGCTTCAGCAGG